AGAAATTTTGTGTACATCGGATAGGGATAACCCCGGATAACCCGCGGATTACCTCCGGATTACATCGAAAAATTCCCAGGATTACCATTGGATTACGCCGGATTACCCCGGATTACCTCAGAATTTCCCCGGATTACTCCGGATTACGTCAGAGCTTCCCCGGATTACTTCGAAATTTCTGGTTATCCGGATAACGGATAACCAATTTGCTGTACACCGGATAACCGACGTCGTTTCTCCTCAACTCATGTGCACAGACAGCTTGGGCTGTACTCAGTGTCCTCACATGTTTAAAAAGAGCAAAGTTCTTTCGTCGTGATGCCTGTCGTCTAAGCTTTTTAACTTTCAACAATAAATGAAAGGTATGAGAATTGGAAGGTGTGCCCATCCGGACAGATTGATTTCCTCTATCAGTTTTTAAGAAAGTGTTTTCATGGGGACGGCTTTATTGTGTCCGCCAAAAAGGCGTCAAAAACACATTTTTAATGTAGATGCTGTTTAAAAAAAAGCCGGATGTCGGCAATTGGCGGCAATGGGTTGGGATAGGGTCCAAGCCCTGTTCCAAATAAGCCTCCGTGCTGTCGGGCTGAATGCGACCGCCGATATGTACACGTGAGTCTCGGTGCTCTCTTTGTGCCCGCGTCGATGGCCTGGCTCCGCTCCACGTGGCCGTGAACGCGAGGGTGGCCCACTGGGTGGGTGGGGCTTGCGGGGCGGGCCGTGGCGCCGCCGTGGCCCGCTGGCATCGAAGCATTCCAATGGGGGCTGCCCTACCAGTTGCTTCGACACCCAGCGCCGCTGGGCGGCGCGGCCGTGGGCGCGCTTCCTAGGCCTCTGGGCGCCGTAGGGCGAGGCTGCCGCAGGAATCCGGATTCCACAGTGCAGTTCCTGGATCCAAGGCGGCTCTTGGGCCTCCTGGCGCCATACGGCAAGGCTGCCGCAGGAATCCGGATTCCGCAGTGCAGTTCCTGGTTCCAAGGCGCCTCTTGGGCCTCCTGGCGACATACGGCAAGGCAGCCGCAGGAATCCGGATTCCACAGTGCAGTGCCAAAGGGCGCACCCGGGACGGCCCAGGGAACCCAGCTGCCTCTCGTGCATACATGCCTCAATCAAGGCCTCAAAGGATCGGCCGAGGCCTTCCGGGTCGAAGGTGGTGGTGGTCAGGGCTAGGGCAGGCAGCGCCAGCGCAGCCGAGCGCAGCGCACGGCAGCTTCAACAGCATCCTCTCCAGTAGTCCGCGACACTACTGTACACACTAAACAAATCGATCTGGCGAGCCGGGCCGTCCGGGCCGAGCGACGGCCAGACGAGTCCCTCGATAAGGAAATGGCCCCGTGATGGAGAACGCGATAGCGTATCTCAGCAATTTCCTGTGCGCGTAGGTGTGCGCGCGCTCGTGTGCGTGCGCGTCGCGTCGCGCAGGGCCCAGGATACGTCCTCAGCTGGCTCCGGGCAATGTGAGTCACGAGCGTTGGCAGCTCAGCGCGACCGGAAGAGGTGCCTGGAGAGGAGCCGCCTCGCTACAGTGTGCGCGCCACGCTTGTTCTTGTCACCCTGAAGCCCCTGAAGGCCCCGAAGCAGCAAAACAGCCGGAGTCCCTTTGGCGGTTCGCTCCAGTTCGGTCGTGTGCTGCCCGGCGCTCCCGCTGGACAGCGTCCCTCGCCCCCATCCGCCGGAAACGAGATGAAACGGAAGCCGAGTCGCACATCACAGCTAGCTCTCTTCCCAATTGGTTCTCGTTCGGCTCGCGAGAGCAGCGCGTGTGTGTTTTCAGCAGCCTGAAAATCCACCGCGGTGGAAAGAATGCAACGCTGCCTGCTTTGGCATATTGCTTGCCCTTCAAAATCCCGGCCCGTCGTTCGCACGGGCCGAAGGCAGGCACACTGCCCGCACGCTGTCAACACGGTGTTCACCTCGTGCGCCCCCACCACGCGCCGCCCCGCGCCGCCCCGCTGCCCAAGGTTGTCTCCAAGAAAGGAGCGACCGCCATATGGCAACCCCTGCCCCGCCAGCCCGACGGGCCGCCGGGCCGCCACACCCCACGTCAGCGAGCCCCGCTTCACCACGCCGCCACGCCGAGCGCCACGCCCCTGCAGGGGCCCTGCCGAGCGATTCCGAAGCGTCGTCTCGTCGCTTTGTCTCTTTTGCACCCCCGCGGAGCCCGCGGAGCGCCCCACGAGTGCGACAGAGACGGAGTGGCTGGCCGGGCCGTGGCCGTGCGGGGCTCACTCTCACGCTGCGCGAGGGCTGCGCTGCTTTTGGCGCGGTCGGCGATTTCGCCGGGACCTCGACCGAGACGCACCGTGCCGCCCTTCGGGGGAGCTCGATAAACGGCCACGGTTTTATTGCCAACACGAAATGCTGCGCTGGCGACCCCCCGCGTGGCACAGTGGGCCAGAAGGCCGGTGGGGGCGGCCGAAACTCTAGATGCGTTTTGAGCTCCACAGTCGCTAAACAGGCCTCGAACCGCGCGTGTGACCCCACCAATGGATAGCTCTTCGAACGAGGAATCCATAAGTGGGGTCACACGTTCTGTTCGAGTCCTGTTTAGCGACCCTGGAGCACAAAACGCGTCCGGGATTTTGACCGCCTCCACCGGTCTTCTGACCCACTGTGCGCGGCGGCTGGAGGAGGCTGTCGGGGTGGACCTAACTCCGCCACTTCACACTCGCCCGACCCGACCTGGAGCGGAGCGCAATGGGGGAATTATCTAGTGCGGGCCGCCCGGCCCGAAGCCCGGCCCGAAGCCCGGCCGCCCGCTGCGGCACAGTGGGCAGGCTGGGCAAGGCAGGCAAGGCAAGGCCCGTGAGGTGTGGCGGGGCCAACCTCACGCCGCCCCGCCGCGCCGCCCGCCGCGCCGCCCCCGCCGCGCCGCCCCCGCCGCGCCGCCCCGCCGCGCCGCCCCCGCCGCGCCGCCCCCGCCGCGCCGCCCCCGCCACGCCGCCCCCCGCGCCACCCCCACCCCCCGCCCGGTCCACTATTATCTGAGCCACTGTCGGCCCCTGCCTCCCGCCCACCACGGCCACATACAGGCCCCATAGTTTGAACAACAAGGTGCGGCACGCAGCGCGTCCAGGAATTTTTAATATTGTCCGTTCTCCCTCCCTCTTCTACCTCTGTCCCTCTCTCCGGCCAACAACAAACACTCCCGCCTGCTGTGGTCCACTGCGTGACGCACGGTGACGCAGCAACGCGGCAGCAGCCCAACCGGGCCCCAACTAGCTAGCGGCCATCTGGACGTCCACGGATCATCATCCATCCGGGAGAATAAATATGTGCGCTCGGAAGTCTCCGAAACAATGACGCTTTGGTTCCCGCAGCTGCGCGCTGTTGTTCAAACTCGGAACACAATGGGCAGAGCAGGGCGAATAGGCGGCGCACGAAACGACATGCGATCAATGCACGCGCGCCGCGCACCCACTCGGAAACACGCACACACACGCACACACACACACACACACACCTACACACTAAATCGACAGTCCCGGTGCCGAGGCGGACCTTTCTTTCCCCCGGCCCTTCGAGGCACTCGTATATGCGCACTCGTGCCCCTGCCGAGTGATTCCGGAGAAACGCCTCGTCGTTCTCTCTCTCTCTCTCTCTCTCTCTCTCTCTCTCTCTCTCGCCGCTGCGGACCGACCCCGCGAATGCGACAGAGACAGACACACAGTGTGCGCGGCACACATGCGAGGCACTCGTGCGTGCACCGCGCAAAGAGTCGCTCTCAGAAGGTCCTTGTGGGAATGCGGGCGGGGCGCGCCATTGTGCGGCTCGGCTGCTGGCTGACGAGGAAAAGCGCCGCAGCTCGCTCATCACGGGTATCATGAGGGCAGCGAGATTGCCGCCCTCGGCACCCTCGGCCCGCTTGCCACATACCTGCTGGAGAGAGAGAGAGAGAGACTCCCCATCAGAGACAGCGACGGGCTCGTAGCGGGGCCGAGCGGGGCCGAGCGGGGCCCAAGCGCGCGGCCCTCAGCCCCAGCGCGGGGCCCGGAGGCTGCGAGGTCCACGCGGCGAAAGTGCCGTTCTGTCTCTCTGTCGCACGCACGAGGCGGCCCGCAGGGGGGAGCGAGAGAGCGATAGTGACAAGCCACATTTTCGGACGCTCGACCGAAGTCCGCGCATTCGGCATTCAGAGGGAGAAATAATGAGGGGACGACGATCATTCATGTCGTTTGATCCTCTCTCTCTCTCTCTCTCTCTCTCCCTCTCTCTCTCTCTCTCTCTCTCTCTCTCTCTCTCCAACGCAGACCCGGGTCGCTTTGATATTAGCCCATGCACACACACACACACACACACATCCCTACACACACGCGCGCGCACTCTCTCTCTCTCTCTCTCTCTCTCTCTCTCTCTCAGACACACACACTCACTCACACACACACACACACACACACACACACACACACACACACACACAATGAAGAGCGTGTCCGACTGCCCCGTTTGCGTCCGCCAGATTTATGGTGGTGGTCGCTCGCCGTGCGATGGCCGTAACTGCCCCGTGCCGCGCCGCCAACTGCGCGCTTTTGGGCCGGGCCGCGGCGAGCCCGGGCGAGGGGCGCCGCGACACCCTACACTACACCCCGAGCCCGGGGTGGGGCGGGGCGCGGCGCGGCGGGGCGGGGCGGGGGGCAGGCTGATTGGTGCGGTCAGCGCGGCCTGAGTTATGCGACGATTATGACGCGTGTGAACAAAGGTCATTAGCAGGGAGGAGAAGGGACGCGTGCGCCATCGGCGTGGTGTCCGGACGAAAAAGGAGGAGGGGGGGCTGCAGATGAATTGGAGAGCCTTGAGGAGAAGCCCGCTCCCTCATCACGCTGCCTTTGTCATGCAAAGTCGCGTCCTCCTTAAAAAGAGGAGCGGCGCCTTCGCCTTCGCCCAGGGAAAGACGCTCGGGGAGACGCGGGCCCACTGTGTTGCGGCAGGGAAAGAGGGAAAACATCTGGCTGTCTGTGTGTCCCAGTGTCTCACGCCCTGTGCTTGTTTTGCGTCCACAGGTCCTGGGCTCCCACAACGAGTTCCACTTCGTGCACCCCTCTCTGGCCCCGGCACGCACCAAGCGCTCCGTGCCCCACACCAGGAAGCTCAAGGTCGACCCCTTGGTGAGTGACGTACTTTTGCCAACTTTTCCGCGTTTCGCCGGAGTCTGGCCGAGAGCCATAGCCGCCGAGAGACACTCTCAATGTCGATGGAATGTATTCCGCGGGTTGCGCACTGGCAGTGTCACATTTTGTGACTTGAAACCGGGGGCGGTCCAAGTACCCTCAATGCGGAGACTCGGCCAGCACTCCCTGGAGCGAGCCCTGGAGGCCCGTGCGCGCGCGGAGCAATGCCAGAGACTCCTTTGTGCAGTACACTGGCGGGAGGTTTTCCAGCACTTTCCTGTTTTGAAAACATCCCCGCTTGCAGGTGAAGCACGCGGCCCAGCAGCCGGGCTTCCTGCGCGTCAAGCGCGGCTACAAGCCCTTCAAGGTGGAGTCGCTGGTGGGGCCCCTCCGGCCCTCGCAGGACCCCACGGACCCCTACTTCAGCTTCCAGTGGTACCTCAAGAACACGGGCCAGAACGGCGGCAAGCCCAAGCTGGACCTGAACGTGGAGGCGGCATGGGCGCAGGGCATCACGGGCAAGAACGTGACGACCGCCATCATGGACGACGGCGTGGACTACATGCACCCCGACCTCAAGTTCAACTACGTGAGTACCGTGACCCTCATGCCGAGGCCCTCAAACGCGCTTCCCGAGAGTGACTTTGCGTCTCTGTCTGCAGAACGCGAGGGCGAGCTACGACTTCAGCAGCAACGACCCGTTCCCCTACCCACGCTACACGGACGATTGGTTTAACAGGTGAGGCTTCGATTCAACGGGACGGGGACTGACTGTCTGTAGAGCGAAGTGGTGTCCCGGCCCGTCGGGGCGTCGGGGCCCGTGCCGCAAGCAATCAGGCATGAACGCTTTGTCCGACCGTACGCGCCTACGTGGGTTTTCACCTTTATTCACGGGTGTGACGTCATGTCCGAGTAAAAATGTTTGTGTGTGACAAAGAATGGAACGGAATGAATTGAAACAAACACCATTCTGCCGTGGCGTCGCCTAGAGCTACCCAGCACAGGATGCTTCTTGGTGGACTGCCCGGTCCTCAGGAACAACAAATATTGTTGTGTCTTTTGTTTTGGTCACAACTGTGTTGTTCCGTTTGCATTGCCCGAAAAACAGGGTTTGTCGAGGCGGGCAGTGGGCGACAGAAATCCTCTTTGCGTCGCGCTCGCAGTAGTGCCACACACGTAGCGCTCTCCGAAATGCAAACACCACGAGCGGGCCGGCCTGTTTGCACTGCCACTGTAAATTGTGCCGCCCAATCAATCGGATAGTTCGGCACGGTCGGCACGTTCAGGGGGATACGCACTGTTGAATTCCGCGCGAAAAGTTTTTAGGAAAATAAAAACAGTACCTCACAGTCGGTGGCAGGCGAGAGCGTAGAGGCGTTGACACGCAACAACGAGGTTGGTAGTTCGAGTCCCGCAATTTCTTCGCTCTTTTCTGAAGGCTAAGAGTGCGGAGCGAATCAAACCTGGCTAGGGTCGTAGGGTCAATTTTTTTAAATTTTATTTTAAACCAAATTTTTAAGAGAGTGGCGTATACAACTCCGTTGTGGAGAGAAGGAGGTTGGACAAATCCCCCCCCCCATACCCCTCCACATCTCACTGCCCACACCACGGCCGAAGTCAAAGCCAGGCCTGTCAATTTTCCAGCGAGTGCAAAAGAGTCCCCTCGAGCCTCTGGGCGGTAAAGCCCCCCGAAATTAGGGGGCTGAGTGGCGAGTAACTTGGTTCATTCAGCAATTATCAGGATCCGAGAGAGGGGGCTCTGTCTGGCCGGAGTGATTCCGAAAAGCGGTTAGTCGCTCTATCCCCCTCGCACCCTCACGGAGAGCCCCGTGAGTGCGACAGAGACGAAGCGACCTTCCTGAATCGCTCGGCTGGCGCGCCTTGAGGGGCAACCCCAGTTAGGGTTACTTATTCAGAACCCGGCTGCCTCGGGCCGCCTCGGGCTGCCCCGCGCTGCCTCGGCCGCTGTCGTGTCTCTTCACCCCTTCCTCCCAGTGCCCCGTGCAGTTGCCAAGGTCACCGGGTGAAGCCAGGGGAAACCCCCTCCTTTTCCCCTTTCATACGAAGAATTACCGGTTTAGAGTCGCGTCAGTCGCCGTGCGTTGACGCGTGTGTCAACTCCACTTTGCCCTGAGCCTTCTTCAAGAGGGATTAGGCAGAGCCGCGGAGTCCAAACGTCAAACGACGGGAGATTGGTCTTTTTTTAACCTGCGAGGCGCAGGGAGACATTTTGCGGGGAAACTACGGCTGACCGGTTTCTGCGGCACCCGAGCGGGGTTTTCGTCGCAGTCACCCATCTTCTGAATTGGCTAGCTGGAGCGCCCGGGGACCGAGGGGCCTGCAATCTGCTGACAGCACTCTCTGTTGTCCCGAAGCACCGAGAAACACTGCTGCTTCCAGTTCGGTTTCCGACTTCCCCCAAGAGCCATGCCGGGGCTGTGGCACAGTGCGTGGACCAGCCACGCCACTCCACGCCTCCCACTTTAATTTCCTCTCCCGTCCTGGAGATGCGACAGGACAGGTCGGCGCCCCGCCCCGCCCCGCCCCACACCCTCCTCTCTTCCGCGCTGACGCCGTGCTGTCTGGCAGTAAGTCCTGCGGAAGTGGCATGGCTGGCGCATGGTTATTCAGCCGCACACTGTGAGGCCCGCAGCGCTTCGCAGCGCTTCGCCCCGGAAGCGCGCACTCGCGGTACTCCGACGCCAACAGCAGCGACTCGATACTTGTTTGGCTTTCCTCAGTGTTGACTCGGTTGCGTAACTTCCGGGCCTTGCGTCACATTTCTTCAGTGGTTTCCAAGAACCCGCCCTGTCTCTCGACATTTGACGCCCAGCTTCGGCAAAAACAGGCGGTTTCAGACGGCCCGGGGCCAGGACAGGACCTGCTGGAGAGAGATGGCGTTGGCATCCGGTGCTGGTTGTGAGCGAGAGGCTCCGAGAGGTGGCACACCCCCAGCCCTCCCAGCGCACGTGACGCTAGGTGTCTTGTTAGTCGCAGCTCGGGATCATTTGGGTTGGACAGGGGTCTCAGACACGCGGCCCGCGGGCCGCTCAGGCGCTGCTCGGGCCGCAGTGCGGCCCGCAGCGGGCCGCAATGGGAAAGGTAGGCGAGAGACACAAGTCCAGGCCGGGCCGGCGACGGCGGCTGGCTCGTCTCCGTGCTGTCGAATGTGTCGAGCGGCCGGCAGTGAGGCTGTCTCTCTTGCACTCCCACGGTTATATGGGAGGGACGAGGACAGACAGTGTGCTCGCGCGGCCGACGTGAGCCGAGGCAGCAGAGCGCTGGCTCATCGCCGCCGGGCCGCCGGTTCGAGCCCGGTGTGTCGCCCGCTGGCATCTATCCTTGTCTTTCCCATAGGAGTCAGTGAGAGCAAGAGAGATGGACGATGTGCTCGCTTCGTTTGGACGAAGGCGAGCAAAGCCAGCGCCGGTCAGCGCCGATTTCACACCTCCCCGGCCTACTCGCCTGATCTCCCATCTCTCTCTTTTCTCCCGGTGCGGCCCGCGGTCTTCCGCCAGTTTGAGACCCCTGGGGTTGGAGCGTAGGATCGAGTGACTGTCCTGTTGTTTACCGGCGCGCCTTGACACGCCTTGCTACGTTACGGCGGCCGCACCGCCCCTCCCTCCTCCCTGGACCGTAGACAGCCTCCTTTCCTGCTGCGGACTGTGCTCGCGCAGTCAGGTTTACGTAAGGCGCCGGGTGACGTAAACGTAAGGCGGCACTGCCCGTCGTCAGTGCGCCCCGCCGGGCAGTGCTCTAGAACAACACAAGAAGTTCGCGCGAAAGGCCTCTTTGAACAGGGAAGCGAAGCAGTAACTTCCCGCGGTTCCCCCGGAATCACCGAACAATGTTTGAAACGACAAACAACTCGTCGACGCGCGGCTGCCAGACGTCGAAGCATGAGGCGGCGTTGTTCAGCTCCACGGCCCTGGAAACGCGTTGCCGATGGCTGGAGGGCGGCGGCGGTGGTTCGATGGCGCGCCATGGCGGCATGCTCCGAGCATGCTCGCTGGGCCCCACCAGTGGGCCCCACCGCGCGTCCGCACCGCCCGGCCCCTCCCCGCAGATCCCGGATCAAGACCCTGCCCCGACCCGCACGTGGCCCGCCTGGCCCGCAGATCCTCCAAGATCCCCCGCGGTGCCTAAGTAGGGTCACGGGCCGCTGGGCCTGCTGGGCCTGCTTGGGGCGGTGTCGATGAATCAGACGCCAACAAGGGAAAAAGGGGGAGGGGGCTGCCCAGCCCGGCCCAGCCGGCAGCTCTGGAAATTGTGTTGCAGCGAGCTGAGCGCCAGCCGGGCCATGATCTCATCAGCAAGCAGGCTGCTTCCGAGCGGCGGCCTGCCTCTCTCGCACCCATCGGGCACGCCCCGTGAGTAGGAGAGAGAGAGAGAGGCCCCTGGAATCGGCCCGAGAAGGCTGTCATGGGCAGCGCCTCGGCGACCCCTCCACTGCGCAGCGCAGCGCGGCGCGGCCACCTCGGCCAAAACAGCTTATTGCTCTCGTTCTCCCCGGCATTTTCATCACGCGAGTTAGGTCGAGAGCCGCTCAACTTTGGCGGCGAGGCCACTTGGACGCGGCGGGCCGTCTTCCGCCGTCTTCGCCTCACGGCTGCGCACTTCTTGGAGTGGCGCGCGATCACGCTGATGAAAAGCCGCGCGCCGAGTGGCAGCGCCACTGGCAGTGCTGCCCAGCCGCCGCCACGTGTCACTGGGCAAGGCCGGCCAGGCCCGTCAGTGTGCCCGTCGGTGTGCGAGCCTCCAGCGGCTTTGCCGGTGTAGGAGGCGAACTGTACCCGTCGGCGCAGAGTACCCCCGGGTACACAACGCCTAGGGCCATAGTACCCTGGGGTACATGACGACTAGGTTCAATGTACCCAGGGGTACAATTCGCCTAGGTGCCAGGTGAATTGTACCCCGGGCACAATGCGGCTAGGCGAAATGTACCCCGGGGTACATTTTGCCTAGGCTTATTGTATCCCCCGCCGGCCGGAGGAAGATGCACGTCGCCTAGGCGCAATGCATCCCCCCCGGATACAAAGAGCCTAGGCGAGGAGTATCCCCTCGGCCGGCCGGAGGGGGATACAATAAGCCTAGGCGCAATGCATCCCCCCCCGGATACAAAAATCGAAAAAAAAAGAAGAAAAAAAGGGGGGCCCTTCTCCCACCTCCGCACACAGGTCGGAGGGCCGCCTGCAACTTCGGTGGATCGGGGGAACCGGTGCTTTACAGGCGGCGACCCCAGGGGTTCTCGTCTGTATATGGGCCGGGCTTGAAGGGCGGGTTTGACAGTCTCTCTCTGCCTTGAGAGCCTTTGCTTTTCGGGGGGTGGTCTGTACCAAATGTACACCCGCTGTCCGGCGCTCTCTACCAAACATACAGCTTGTTTAAGGGCCAGCTTAAAAGGGACTTATCATCTCCCCCCGACGAATCAAGGAGGACCCCCCCGCGACCAATTACGGGTGGCTGGATTGACGGATCAAATACTCCGTCGCTCCAGTGCCGGGGCCCAAACCCCCCGAAGCGCAGTTGCTTTTTAGACACCCCAGCGGAGTGGCCAGGTGAATGTGACTCTGACCACTACGCTATCAAGCTTGTACGTCTGGCGTCGTGTTGGACGACGGGTTTGAGTTGCAGTGGAAGGAAGCCAGTCGAAAAATGTAGTGAAATGATGGGAGTCGATCCCAGGACCCTATTTGCCGGGACCGCACGACTTTTGCCGCTCGCCCACCACGGCCCATGACGATAGAGCGGCGTGAGGCGGGCTCTTGACGCGACAGAAATGGACCGACCCGGTCAAAATTTCACAAGAAGTTTGGGGAGTCAAACCCCGCCGACCTCAGCACGGAGAAGCGACGCCTCTACTCCCTAGACCACCAGGGCACACGCATTTTTGTTGGCTGAAGTCACGGTTTTCAGCCACACTGGGCGAGGCAGTAAAATTAAATGTTAATGTTTGTTAGGAATCGAACCCCCGACGTGTGGGACTGTTCTACACGGCTCCGCTCTGATGGCCTCAAACCGTTCCACAAAAAAAAGGAAATCAAAAAAAAAAATTTGAGATGCCGGTATTCGAACACCGCACTGTGCAAATGCGATCGAACGTCTGTAAATTTGCACAGTGCGGTGTTCGAATACCGGCATCTAAAATTTTTTTTTTCGATTTCCTTTCTTTTGTGGAACGGTTCGAGGCCATCAGAGCGGGGGCCGTGTAGAACAGTCCCACACGTGGGGGGTTCGATTCCTAAAAAACATTAACATTTAATTTTACTGCCTCGCCCAGTGTGGTTGAAAACCGTGACTTCAGCCAAAAAACTGCATGTGCCGTGGTGGTCTAGGGAGTAGAGGCGTCGCTTCTCCGTGCTGAGGTCGGCGGTTCGACTCCCCAAACTTCTTGTGAAATTTTGCCCGGGGTCGGTCCATTCTGTCGCGTCAAGAGCCCGCCTCACGCCGCTCTACTCGTCATGGGCCCTGGTGGGCGAGCGGCAAAAGTCGTGCGGTCCCGGCAGTAGGGTCCTGGGATCGACTCCCATCATTTCACTACATTTTTCGACTGGCTTCCTTCCACTGCAACTCAAACCCGTCGTCCAACACGACGCCAGACGTACAAGCTTGATAGCGTAGTGGTCAGAGTCACATTCACCTGGCCACTCCGCTGGGGTGTCTAAAAAGCAACTGCGCTTCGGCGGGTTGGCCTCGGCACTGGAGCGACGGAGTATTTGATCCGTCAATCCAGCCCCCGTAATTGGTCGCGGGTGGGTCCTCCTTGATTCGTCGGGAGGAGATGATAAGTCCTTTGAAGCTGGCCCTTTAAAAAAGCTGTATGTTTGGTAGAGAGCGCCGGACAGCGGGTGTACATTTGGTACAGACCACCCCGCGAAAAGCAAAGGCTCTCAAGGCAGAGAGAGACTGTCAAACCCGCCCTTCAAGCCCGGGCCCCTATACAGACGAGAACCCCCGGGGTCGCCGCCTGTAAAGCACCGGTTCCCCCGATCCACCGAAGTTGCAGGCGGCCCTCCGACCTGTGTGCGGAGGTGGGAGAAGGGCCCCCTTTTTTTTTTCTTTTTTTTTTCGATTTTTTTATCCGGGGGGGGTGCATTGCGCCTAGGCTTATTGTATCCCCCTCCGGGCCCGGGCCCAGGGGATACTCCTCGCCTAGGCTCTTTGTACCGGGGGGGGTGCATTGCGCCTAGGCGACGTGCATCTTCCTCCGGCCGGCGGGGGATACAATTAAGCCTAGGCAAAATGTACCCCGGGGTACATTTCGCCTAGCCGCATTGTGCCCGGGGTACAATTCGCCTGGCACCTAGGCGAATTGTACCCCTGGGTACATTTAACCTAGTCGTTATGTACCCCAGGGTACTTTGGCCCTAGGCGTTGTGTACCCGGGGGTACTCTGGGTCGGGGGGTACACTTACACGCCGACACCGGCACGGTCCACCGTGAAGACACCTGATATCGCATCCCTCGCCGACGCATATTCAGTCCCACTCGGCTCCTGCCTCTTTGTCGCGCGTCCTACGCGCGGTCCCCTCATTGTCTTTCGTCCCACACTCGGTTGTCTCTCTCTCTGTCCCACACTAAGTCCCCTCTCTGTCTTCTGTCCCACACTCGGCCCCCTCTTTGTCTCTCGTCCCACACTCGGTCCCCTCTGTGTGATATTCCAGGTGCGCAGAGCGACAGCCCTGCTCCGCCTGACGCCTTATCGCTTGGTGTGTTGCAGCCACGGCACGCGGTGCGCCGGCGAGGTGTCCGCCGCGCGCGACAACGACGTCTGCGGCGTGGGCGTGGCCTACGACTCCAAGGTGGCAGGTGAGCGTCTCTCTCTCTCTTGCAGACCACCGCCGCAGCGCGCCGCCGCACCATTTCCGGGCCGCCTTTTCGGCAAATCCACGCAATCAGCGATTCGGAATGAACGCGCGACCGCGGCCCGGCCGTGGTGGTCCCGCGAATGCGCGCGAATGCGCGCGAATGGCACCGCAGGCGGGTCGGGATTTTATGGTGGAGCGGTACGGCGGGGCGCCGCAAAAAAACGAGACGCGAAAAATAAAGAGCTCGCGCTCCTCTACAACGATGGAAAAAGATGAAAAAGCGGTTTTGAAAGTTCGTTTCTATCGATCCTCGCGAAAGTGCGTCACGCGGGGTACCCGCTGCTCCGCTCTTGCACACCCTTTCTCGCCGCCTGGATTGTGTGTGTGTGTGTGTGTGTGAGAGAGAGAGAGAGAGAGAGAGAGAGTGTGTGTGTGTGAGAGAGAGTGTGTGTGTGTGTGTTTTGTCGTGAGTGACTGAGTGCGAGTGCATGTGTGTGCGTGTGACCATATGGCGCCAACCACACACGTACGTCTCTTTTATGACAGGAGCCCCTGGTGGGTAGGCGCAGCCCTGCGCAGCCCTGCGCAGCCTTGCAGCCCTGCGAGACGCGAGGCGTGAGGGCCGAGTGGCAGCAGTGTGGGGTTTCGAAGGAAGGACTCCATCACGCCTTGCGGCATCAGCGGGCTGCCCTTTTCCCGCGTTCGGGTGGGCCGCCGGACGAACGAGTTACCCACACCGTGAAACCGCTCCACGAAAGACTCGCGGCACGACACTTGCTTCAAGCACGCAGGGCGCGAGCGCGCTCGTTAACGCGGGAGTAGCCAACTCAGTTTCTTGTTTGCGAACGCAACGCTAGGCGCCCGCCTGACGTGTCCGACCACCCTAGCTGCGCCCTACACAAAGTTACGTCACTTGTTATTTCACCGGCACCGCTTTTCTGTCCGGCGAGCAAGTATCGGCCAAAGACGCGTTTTCGGGCTTCGCTTTCGTCCCGCTCCGCCGCCTCCTCTTTGATGGCGGCCCCTTTGTGAGCGAACAGCGGCCGGGTATCAAGGGCCGAGCCGCTGCTCAAAGCCCCGTGTGTACACTCTAAATGTTCTACAGTGAAGATTCTCCATATTATGGTGAAAATGTTCCATATTATGGTGGTGCAGCTGACTTCGTAACATACCATTGAGAATTCACTGTACCTTATAGATATTTTGACGAATTTCGTTGGTATTATGGAGAAAATCTCCACCATAATATGTTGGTGCAGCCTTTCACCGTAAGACATTTACTGTGTACTCAAAGCGAGGCTGCTCTTTTGACAGCGTGCCTGCCAACACTTCCTCGTCCACAGCACGCGCGCGGTCCAAAGGAACCAATACCAACCTCGGGGAATAATGAGAAACGGCATTTTATGAAGGTAGAAGGTACACTGCTGAGACATGTTGATGCCACTTCAGAGCAGTGGCGTGCGCAGAAATTTAGAAAGGGGGGGGTCAGGCCATGCTTTTTGCCTACTTACAGGGGGAAAGTGACGCAATTTGCCTACCTTCCAGGCGGCTGTCTAGTGGCCAAAGGGGGGGGGGGTCATGACCCCCCTGACCCCCCCCCCCCCCCCCCCCCCCTGCGCACGCCACTGCTTCAGAGGGGAGGAACGCACCAAGTGGGAGCGAGACAGATGTCTGAATCCTCTCACTCGTCATTCACAGTGCGAGTGAGCAACCTTGGCAGCGGATGTGTGCTTCCTCAACAACTCTGTGTGCTGACCTTTGCCGCAGGCATCCGCATGCTGGACCAGCCCTACATGACGGACCTGATCGAGGCCAACTCCATGGGCCACGAGCCCAACCTCATCGACATCTACTCGGCTTCCTGGGGGCCCACGGACGACGGCAAGACGGTGGACGGGCCTCGCAACGCCACCATGCGGGCCATCGTGCGCGGCGTCAACGAGGTAGGCACCGCAGGGAACCGCCCAAAGCCAGCTAACATCTTTCCCTTCCCGAGAATCGATCACTCCGTTGACCAACTTTATGTCTGTGGCTGGCTGGTGATCCCGAAAAATCACAACGTTGAGAGGTTTTCGATATTTTGTGACCGCAGCTTTGCTAAGTGACCTCTGCCAAAGCAAATGCGGCAAAAACGTGTAGGGTTTAAAAATGCGCACCCACTTTCTGGGAAGGCTTTAGACGGCGAGTCGAAGTTTTCTCGTCCCTTTACCGGCTGGTAAGCTCCCCAACGTGGTTATTTTACATGACAATACCTTTCACGGCCGGCAACGGTATTTCTTTCTTTTTATCGGGGGGAGGGGTGAAGAGATTTTGACTCACGCAGTTTCCAGAGTGTGCTCGGATCAGTATATTTCGGTGTCTTCCGGGGGGGATGAGGAGGGACTGGAAGTTCGTCGAAGAAGGTCGAGACCCCTCCCCCTTCTCCGAACAGAACAGGAGAAAAGAAACAGACGCAACGGCGGCGGTGAGGCGAGGTAACGGCTTACTGGCAACTCCAGCTCATCCTTGTATGTGTAGGTGTTTGTGTGTGTGTGTCTGTGCGTGTGTTGTGTGCGTACAAGAAAGATAGAGAGAGAGAGAGAGAGAGAGAGAGAGAGAGAGAGAGAGAGAGAGAGAGAGAGAGAGAGAGAGAGAGAGAGAGTCTTTTTCACCTGGCTGCCCGGATGCACCCCGGAGGGACCCCCTGCTGAGGTCTCTACGCAGGAGGCTGGGAGGCTGGGCCCGGCGGGCAGGCTTGCCGCGGCGGCGGCTCCGGTCCCCACACCCCATCACCCCGCCTAACGGGAGCCAGGGGAGCCATGAGCCGTGCAGCCGCTCCGGTTCGAACTAACGACTAGTTCGTGCCCGGTCGCACGGGGGCTTCCGAGCAGCGCGAACCGAACCCGCATCCGCGACGCCGTATTGTCATAGAGAAAGGCGGGGGCTGGTCCCGCTGAATAGAATCATAGTCTGAAAGGGGCGCCGCCTCACAGTATCCTTTTTGTTGGCTCAGCCAGCCGCCATGGCGCCACGCCACGCCACGCCGGATCCAATCACGTTGCTAATTAGGAAAAATCGGAATTGGAATTCTCGGGCTTGACACTGGGAGAGGCTCCCCCCTCCCTCTTTCTCCCCTTTCAACATGTCCACGCCTCAGCCACAGCCGGGCTTGTTGGCAGGGTCCTCGTAACTTTTTTCATTTCGCTTCGATGGAATCCGTCGCGGACGCTGCAGGCGCGCCTTGCACGTCGTGGCTCGCGCTGCTTTCAAAAGCGCAGCCCTTCTCTGTCCGGTTGTTTTTTTTTTTTTTTCGTTTTGCTTCGGACGGAGCAGCCTTCGCTCGCTCGCAGCGCTGTCGCGCGACCGGCGCCCACACGCTGTTGCCCGGAGCTCACCGGTTGGGACGAAATCAAACATTCGGGCCGGGCGAGGGGAAGCGGAGGGGAAGCACAGTGTCTCATGGTCCGCGTCCTCGCCAAGGTCCATGCCGCGGGAAGTTTGGACAGCTGGGACTGGCGCGCCATGGCGGCGAGATTCGAAAGCCATGTCCCGCCGCCACTGCAAAAAGGCAAAAGGGCCTCGTCGAGACTGCCCGAGGCTCACTCGTCCCTTTTTGTCGCCCGGAACTAAACGACTGGGGGTAGACACGGAATCCAAGCGCCCATTTCAGAGAACGGAAACGGCCACTGCACTGGTTGCCACTTTTTTTTTTGTGGCAGCTGGAACCCCTGGGATGGTGGAGGGAGGGATTCATGCCTCGCCGCGTACACTCGGTGATGAGGTGGGGCTGTTGGCAGCGTGTCGTTCCATGCAGAGCCTCTGGTTCAAACACCGCGGCCCGAGCGTTTGGCCCGCCGCCTCCGCGCCGCCTCGCCGTGCCACGCCCTGCCACGCCCTGCCACGCCCTGCCACGCCCTGCCACGCCCTGCCACGCCCTGCCACGCCCTGCCACGCCCTGCCACGCCCTGCCACGCCCTGCCACGCCCTGCCACGCCCTGCCACGCCCTGCCACGCCCTGCCACGCCCTGCCACGCCCTGCCACGCCCTGCCACGCCCTGCCACGCCCTGCCACGCCCTGCCACGCCCTGCCACGCCCTCCATGGCAGTGCGGCAAGGGCTCTCTGAGTAATCAGGTTTGGCGGTCTAAGCCTATCCCCGGCCACGCTGCCCACGCGGTCTACGCAGCCGACGCGGCCGTGTCCGGCCGGACGACACACGCTACACCGCCCCTCCGAGTGCCTCGCCGCCTCGCTGCCTCGCGGGACTGCACCACTCTCGGCGCCACTGCGTGTTACAGTGTACTGTGTTGGGGCTGCTACAACGTGTGACTGGTGTTGCAGGGCCGCAACGGGCTGGGCAACATCTACGTGTGGGCGAGCGGCGACGGCGGCGAGGACGACGACTGCAACTGCGACGGCTACGCCGCGTCCATGTGGACGGTGTCCATCAACTCGGCCATCAACGACGGCCAGAACGCGCACTACGACGAGAGCTGCTCCTCCACCCTGGCCTCCACCTTCTCCAACGGCGCCAAGGACCCCAACACCGGCGTGGTGAGTCACTCTGTCTCTTTCGCACTCATGGAGCGTCGCGCGTCGGTGCGAGAGAAACAGAGCGACGATGCACCGTGCAACTGGGGCGCATCAAATCAGCGCCTTCTTGTTCGCTGCTGCTCTGTACCAATTTGGGTTCATTGGACAGCAGGCGGACCGGCCTGCCTTGGCGAGCTCGTCGCACTGACCTCTTTATCCCTTGTTCCGTGTGGTTGCCCGCCAGGCTTCCCGCCAACCAGCCAACCGGGGCAGACATCGGCCCCGATAGCGCCTTTTTAGGTCGCTGCAGGGCCACATCACAGCGGGGTATTTTGGGCCACTTTTTGTCAGCATGCGGTACCGCACCGATCGACACAGCCTGGCTGGGTGTAGGGCAACCTGGCCGCAAGCCTCTGCGGCGCATTAGCATCTGGAGAAGCCCTCGACGTCGAAGCGGACTGGGGGTCGTCGGCGCTAGTCTGTACGCGCCGCGTCGGGGTTGACGTCATCCTTTGTGTCTCGGAGTTCCGAGTTCCAAGTGGCTGCTGTTCCGGCTGGACGCGGCCTGGCGGCAAGCCTGGCGGCAATACCTGCTGCGGCTGCTGGGGCTGCCAAGTGCTTTCTCGCGGACAATACGCGTTAGGCCCTGAGCGGGCCCCGCCGGTCTGTCTCTCTCGCACTCACAAGGACGCCCCACAAGTGCCGCGGAGAGAGACAGAGAACCCCCGCGCGGCACCAGTCTGCTCTGGCCCTCCAAGCCGACTCCAAGCCCACCCCGGTCAGTCCTCGCCAGCCCCAGCCCCCGGCAGCCCCAGGCTGGCTGGCTGGCTGGCTGGCCGGCGGGTGGGCCTCCAGGGGCCTGCAAGGAGCGCCACCATCTGGCGCCCCAGACGCAGGGGGCCGGGCCGCACCGCCTTGGAGTGTCGGCTTGTATGACGTCACGCCACCACGGCATGGACGCCGCGGTCGCCATATGGGGACGGCTTTATGCAAATCGGCCAAACTTGGGCGACACGGCGGGCGGTGAAATTGCGGCGCTGAGGATCGAATGGGGGAGGGGAGGGCTCTCCTTTTGCCGAGTGCAGAATCACCCCGCTGGCCTGTTTGCACTCCACTTTATTTCGCAAACATTTCTCCTTCCACTGCGCGTAATGAAGAGCAATTGATGGCACCGCGGCACCGCCTTGGCGGGTGGGCGTCGCTGTGCGTCGTTCGGCATCGCTGGGCCTCGCAAGGAACAATGGGGCCTGCTGGGTCGCCCTGGGCTAGTTCTTGCGAAGAAACTTTGAGGTGAAAAACCGCTAGACTTAAATTTACAAAGTTTGCTGTATTAAGACTTGGCGGCAGGGCAGCCCCAGAGCATGCGAAGAAAAAGTAGCGAGAGCTTACTCAGTTACTGTACAGGGGAGATGATTTTTTTGTGGCGTTATTTTTTTTGTGTTGGTTGTTTGTCCTGCTGGCTGAAACTGGCCGGCTTCCATTTCCATTTCGATCAAGCTGACAGCAGACGGAAAACACAATCCCGCTCGCCGAAGCCGTATCGCCCACCAAAGGACTCGTAAGCCAGCCCTGTGTCATATTCCTCGTGTCGTTTCAGGCCACCACGGACTTGTACGGGAAGTGCACCACCACCCATTCCGGGACCTCGGCCGCCGCCCCGGAGGCCGCTGGAGTGTTCGCCCTGGCTCTGGAGGCCAAGTGAGTACTTGAAAGGACAACACCTTTCTGGCGGGGCAATTAACGCCCGGCACTGCGGGGCTCCGTGCCTCGGCCAGCGCGATGGCTGTTACGAGACGCCCTGTGACGTCGCAGTAAGGGCTTCCCGTGACAAAACACTGATAAATATAGGAGTCAGTGCCGGAAATCTCGATGCCAATTTGCCTGGAAATCGGTGGGACTTCATCCATGTCAGGGGAACTGGAAGCAAAGACAGTGCCTGGGGTGCCAAAGTTTTAGATTGGCCTAGCTCCAGCCACGTGAAAATGTTCGTCATGAGTGATGACTTTCTGCGCTCAAGTTGCAAAACTGGCGTTTTAAAAATAGTTTCTGCCTTTCTTGGAAAACAACTGATGAGAAATAGAGCCAGAGCGAAACATACGCTCTGGGCCCGGCGGCCTGGCCAGTACTCTCGCGTTTCAAAATGATGATACTGCCCCACTTCTCAGACGCCATGTAATGAGATTTCGGCGCCGAGGACGGACGGGCGCCGCGTGACCCAGACACCAGAGTCCCGCCGAAACGAAGTTGAAGTCAGATTACGTCCGAGATGGTCACGTTGTTGGTGTTTGTGCAGCCCCCAGCTCACGTGGCGCGACATCCAGCACCTGACCGTGCTCACCTCGAAGCGCAACTCCCTGTACGACGCCAAGAACCGCTTCCACTGGACCATGAACGGCGTGGGTCTCGAGTTCAACCATCTGTTCGGCTTCGGCGTGCTGGACGCAGGCGCCATCGTGGCGCTGGCCAAGCAGTGGCGCACCGTGCCTGCGCGCTACCACTGTGAGGGCGGCGCCGTCCACACTTCCTTGTGAGTACGAACGCCGTTCGCCTTCATACGGGAAATTTTCGTTTGATGTGATGTTTTTGGCAGTGCTGCTCCCGCACTCTTTTCGCTGTCGCTTCAGAGGCATTTTAGCCGCTTCCCGGGAGGGCGCGCCACCTGTTAGGAGCACCGGGTTATTAAGTGAAGCAGCTCCCGAGACGTTTTTCATGATACTACGTAGCGCGACATTTGCAATTCACAAATTTGGCGAGGCTCAACGAGACTAAGGCGGCGGGTGGAAGTTTGCCACTTTGCATTGCAGATACCGCGCCGGGGACCAATACTAAATGTTGTGACCTCGTTGAGTTTCCAATGCGAGGAGACCTGCTTGAGCCATTCAATTTTCGCTTTGGCCTCTCATGATTTCACTTTGCTCTTTTTCTGCCAAACCACGCCCTCTTCCTCTTTGAGACAGTATAGCGAGATGCTTCTAATTAAACAAACATCAGTTCCTTAAAGTAATTTGAATTGCAGATCCAACGGCGTACACTCGCAAGGTGAAATGCTGCGTGGTGTTCGACAGACAGCCTTGCCCAGCTTTATTTTCAGCTGACGTCAAACTAATGACCAACTTGTTTTGATGGACTGGACGCGGTTTGCAGGGAAATCCCGAGCGACCGTTCCGTGCTGATGAAGATCACCACCGACGCCTGTGCCGGCACCGACACCAAGGTGCGCTACCTGGAGCACGTGCAGGCCGTCATCTCCCTCAACTCGACCCGCCGCGGCGACGTGGAGCTCTTCCTCACCTCCCCCATGGGCACGCGGTCCATGATCCTCAGCAAGCGTGCCAACGACGACGACCACCGGGACGGCTTCACCAAGTGGCCCTTCATGACCACCCACACCTGGGGCGAGGACCCCCACGGCACTTGGTTGCTCGAGGTGAGCAGCACACTAACTATTGTCAAATTAATGCGGGTGTAAGTTATGTACAATTTTAATTCGTAAATAAGGGAAAATATTTCCTGCTGAAGGATTTCAACGGTTGCACCGAGTTTATATACTAATTTGTACATAAGCAAGAAGTCATATTTAGTTTACAAAGAGAATTAACATAACCATTTAGTGTGTATGGCGCCAAATCGCTTTGGACGTTTCATCGGGGCGCATTTGACGATCATGTGCATGAGTTACCTTCTTCGCGACTATTGAACAGCAGAAGCTAACGCTCGCACAGAATCATTCTTTAAGTCCTAAAATGACAGCGTGTTCGTGAGGAGATTGGAAAAGAATACGCTCAAGTTATTGTTCTGTTTTAGCTCAAACTGTCCGGAAAATCCATTTCTTGCAGCTCACAGCCACCTCTCTCTCTGACGATTCCGTTCTTCCTGAGTGAACTGATGTGACGTTCTGTGTTTGCAGGCAAGCTTCAACTCCCAGATGCCGCAGCACGGCTTCATCCGTGAGTGGACGCTGATGCTGCACGGCACCAGGGACCCGCCGTACGTGGGGCTGCCGGTCACCGACCCGCACTCCAAGCTCGCCATCGTCAAGAAAGCGCACGAGGAGCGCAAAGCATGAAGTGTTGCTTAGAAGGCTCACTGTCCAGACTCGAGGGCCGGCGTCAGCACCAAGTTGGGATTCGGAACGGCCGGGCCAGGCGAACAAGGCGCTTGTTTGATACCACACCCTTTCCAGCAAAATCTGGCCTGGCCGACTTCGGATGTAGTCATTTAGACCAGTAGGTTGTGTTGGCTGACCTGTACGGGGCATCTGGACAGTGAACAAGGAAAGAAGAAGCAACTTTATACTACTCATATGACAGCTAACAACGGACAGGCGGGGCAACTCTTGGCTTTGATTGAGCCCCTACCAAAACGACCAACAGTTGCCCCGCGTTTCCGTCACTCACATTCCCTTCCCGTGTTCCCTGCATAATTAGAGCAAGAATTGAAACGCTTCTCCCGGTCCGCTAGGTCGCACGCTGCGAACCTGCGCACGCCTAGACTAGTCTCTAAACTCTCTCCCTGTTCTTGATTTTAAGTCGGGCCGGACTCGAATTCTATTAGCGATCCGGAAAAGTCAATCTTTTATTTCTTTTTGTCTCGGAATGGAGTTGAGTCGCCGGCGCAGCGACGGTGTCGCATTTAACCTAGTTTAGTAATTGTATCAGTTGCCTCTACTGTCCTCTTAATTGCTTTCGCGATGTCAGAGAAAGATAATTGAAAGAGAGCCGGGCGAGAGTATAGATTAGAGATGCTTGTGAAGAGGAGTGCACTTTGCTTTTAGCCAGCCTGATTCGATGAAGCAAATTGCGCAAATTGCAGAGACCAATGTTAGACTTAGTAGCTGCACTTGTGACGCCGCTGGTGTCCACCAATTGATTCACCGGGTCAAGCTAGGCCGCTTTTTCACGAAAAAAGGTTGTTTTGCTTTGTCTTGCAAGGGCTGATTGTAATTCGACATATCAGAGGCGTACTCCTTACTAACGCACTGCTCTAAGACAAATAATCTCAAATTAGAGTACAATAATTAATGTTCGGAAATTTTACCACTGGTGAGAGAAGGCCGAAGAACGATGGACAACGCTATTTGATGCCAGCCAAGATTATCTGAATAACGATATTATTAATCAAGTCCCGTCGGGTCCACGGGATTGCTGTGGCTGTCCCTGTCTCTCCCTCTCTCTGCACCAACGGCTCAGTTTCTCCTTGCGCCGTTCCGTGGAACTAAATGAGGCATCCCGACGCCGGCCACCTAATTAGGTACAATCTGCCCACGATTGTATTTAATTACAAACTGCAATGAGACGTGACTGGCGTACATGCACGAATGCAGTTTCACGCAATGAAAAGGAGTGCATGACCCATTGGTGCCTTCATATTGTAAGCCAAGCTTTTTTCTTTCATGCTCACACTTTCCCTCTACTCTAATCAAAACGCACCCCTTCCCCTCGTTTTTGAAGCTTTTGCAAAGGCGAAGCCTTGGCTTCTATATGAAAGAAATGCACCCGAGCGCCGTCGCACTTGTGGTGCGCATGTCCACAAAAGTCGTTGCGTTTTGTACAATTCCAGAGCTACTGCTTATACAATTTGACAGGACGATTTGTTTGATCGTGAAAAATATTGGGGAAAGACGACTTTTGTTGTGACTCTTGCGGACCCTTTTGCGACAGCGTTGTCGAGAATATGAGCTAATGACTAGGATAATATAGGCTCGAGTCTCTGTTCTCCATACTATAATGATGTCAAACACTTTATATCAGATGGAAACGGAAATGTGATACATTTGAAATCTAGAGAGTTGGATCTTCGCTTTAAAACGTATTATTTTGTTTCGTTGTAGATTTGGATCAAACGTTTCGTGAGCTAACTAGATACTAGATAGTATATCTTGAAGAAGTGCTCGGGCACAACCACGTAACGTACCACGCACAAGTGGCTAAAAGGATGATCTGTACTGCAGCATTTTGTCCCCATTTTATTTTAGTTTTAAGATTGAAGTGCGACTGTCGGTACGATTCCCATTACTTTTGATCTCGATCTTGATGTTTATGCTTCGTTGCACTTGAACAGACTATCCAGTTCCTGTGAGGCTTTACTTTTGTATTAGTGAGTGGTGCATTTGCGAATGAGAAAAATTTTTACGAGAAATGGAACGATGTACCTTTTTTCGCCCAAACACTGATATGATGCAGAAATTGTGCTAATATCTGATGTTTGGTCTGTTACTGTTTTGTAGAGGATTCCTAATGCATAGCTATGTCAAAAATTCTGTTAATATTTTCCTGTAAATTTATTTTCCCCACGTGTAGTTTAAGGCGGGTGGCACAGTGACGGTTGTTAGGCGAGATTTGACGGGTACGTTCGTTGATCGAACAAAGCGCATATTTATTTTTTGGAACTGGTGATACTGAAGTAGTAACTTACTTTCTGGATTCCTTTTTACTGTAGCTGCGTATCGGGCCGACAGAATATATGTGGTGATTGTATTATTTTGTTCACAGAGAAAATGATCGTCTATTGTGGTCGAGTAATATAGATTGAACTAAAATATATTTTAAAATTGATTTAATAAAATTTGTCTTCAGAGAGGTAAAACAAACGGTTCTTTTTATTTCGACGCTTCATCTCCCGGGAAATCATGTGTGGTCGAGTCGTTAATCGCAATGCTCCTCTGAGCGCAAACGGCTGCTCCCGCTACATACCCAGATTCTGTGGGCGAACCCGGTCTACCGAGAAAACCACTACTCTCATATTAGGAACGACCCGTCTCGTGCTGGTGAATCACCGACATGGCGGGGCGGGCCCGAAAAAGGCAGACGATCATTTGTGGTCCAGCCATTAATCGCAATCGCAATCGCCTTACACACACACAGTCCCGTCAAGCTTACGTGTGTTGCGGGCGGGCCTATCCAGTGTCTTGCAGGCGCTCGCATCTGGAACTTGCTCACGCCGGTCGCGGGGCGTGCCGGCGGGTCGCGCAGCGCGCAGCACGGAGTGTCGCCGCCGAGGCGCGGGGTATCGCCGGCACACTGTAGCGGTGGCGGCCGGAACGCCGGAACTCGGAGCGTGGGGTATGTCGGCGCAGCTGTACCTCCCTGCCCTTTCTCTCAATGGCGTTGTGTCTCTTCAAAGAAAGGTCACACCACAAACATCGGGAAGGATCCCCACTTCCCCGCAACAGCGTAGCAGGACTGTCAGCAATCCAGAGCTTTGCATTCATTTATTCGCAGACAACTTGCGAGTGGATTCGAAGACAACTTGGGGGTGGATAGAAACGAATTGAATGATGAAGTCTCTCTCTCTCTCTCTCTCTCTCTCTCTCTCTCTCTCTCTCTCTCTCTCTCTCTCTCTCTCTCTCTCCCCCCTCTCTCTCTCTCTCCCTCCCTCTCTTTCCGTCGTGTTAAAAGTCAGGTCGAAGAACAAGTATTGATACATTCACTACTCACTGCATTAAAAGATAGGCGTTACCGTCCACTCTTTCTTCCCACCAGATACTAAAATATATTTCCTTCAGATTTGTTTCGCTTTAAATGTTGAATTTAACATTTAAATTCAATTTTAATTCATGAAGTCTCATGAAGGAAATCACATACTGTTTTTCCCGCGCCTAGCCGCTTCCGTCCCTTAAATAATGCTTACAGGCACAACGTAGCCTTATAGCTACCTTAGAATTGTTTCTTTCATGGCCTTTATTTTTTTTATTTTGACAGGACTTGGCAAAATGGCAGATAGTCCTTTTTTCACTGATTTTCAAACCTGTATTTTCTTTGTTTTCCTTTGTTTCGGCCTGGTGGTCATGTTGTTGTTGTTTTCGAGCAACCTTCCCTTTCGGTCGCACGTCCTGCAGGGACTGGCGCGCTGGCGCCACGGAGGCTGCAGACAGGCGCCAGCCCCTCCCCCTCCGGGCCTCCCCTCCCAGCGGCCCCGCCGCGCCCCTTCCTGCCGCCGCGGCGCGGCCCGCCAGTGGCGTTGGAACCCCGGTCTGGGAAGGCAGCTCGTCTAACCCGCGCCGCCCGCCGCACCCCCACGGCGCTCACGTGCTGCCGGCGCTGCCGAGCCGTTGCCGAGGCGTTGCCGAGGCGTTGAAGGCGCGACCACAGACCAGGTGAGTGACAACCAGTGGTGTGGCCGTTGCCGTGTGCCCCGAGGCAGCGTCTCCAGTTGACACTGCTTCCGTATCACAGAATACGAAACATCAAAACAAAACCCCCCGTGGTTGGGGTGTTTACTATGACTTTGAGGAGTTTCGTTTGTTTTGAGTGCCCTAATCTTGACAACAACAGCAGCAGCGAATTCAAGTGGGTGAAAATGGCGCCTGTCGGCCTGCGTGCTCAGCGTGCTCGGGCCAGGCGGTCAGGGGGCGGCCAGGGGGCGGCCGGCTCTATTGGCGCACGTTGAGCCCCGCGTCTCATTAAAAACGCCCCCTTGGGGCACCCTCGCGACTTCGTGCTGGTCGCCTGGCCGGCGCTGGTCGGTCCATTCTTTAGCCAGAAAAACTAGTCATGCACTGACATTCATTCTGCAAAACGCTTGCTATTTTTTTTTGAGAACTTTTTTGATAGTTTGCAATATTTGCAATTCAACACATCCTGGGCTGCAATGACCAAGTTATTTTCGCACTTTTTGTCAAATCACTCCTAACATTTTGAAACAAAGCAGGTTTTTTTGGTACTTCATGTAAAAACATTGCAATAATATTTATTTGAAAATGGAGGGGGGGGGGGTATTGCAACTGAAGGAGTAGGTTGTTTCTTTGTGCCAATCGGACGTGGCGCGGTGTGAACTTCAAATTTACAGTTTGTATGCACAGTAAAACAGTTTACTTGCTTGGACATTGAATAAAAGAAGGAAAGTTGGCGTTAATGATGAGATTTTTAAGGGAACACTGACTCTTTTCAAGTGTAATTTTCATGCAGAAACGAAACGTTGAAAGGGGGGGGGGTGGAAAAGTGGATCCTAGTTGACTTTTTTCCAGCGGCGCACCGCGGCTCACAATCCGGCCCGTCCAATTAGAAATGCGTGCAAAGTTTGTAATAATACGCCGCTGCTGAAACAAAATCCAGCGGGCGGCCAGCGCCAAGGCTAACGCGGCTGTCAGATCCGCCTCGGATTTGCATCACTCTTTTATATTTGTCGTTTGAGGGAAGAAGGGCGGCGGAGGGCTGCCGAGGCTGGCGGGGCTGGCGGCAGCCGGACCATCCCTCTCCAGATGGTCAATTTATTCCTCTCCTCTTTGTGCTCGCTGACTTGAATGACAGTCGGCTGGAAGCGCTGGAAGCTTGGCTGGAGGCTCCAGCGTGCCAGCCTCAAGGCGCCGCTGCCGCGCTGTCCTACGGCACCGCTCGACTTTCAATTTTAACTGCCCTACCTGTGAAGTGAAATGGGCGTAAAGCGTGGCGTGGCGAAAAGCGGCACGGTAAAAACGGTTCCTGGTTTACCCAGGAACTCCCTGGAAATCGCCTATGTCTCTACCATTGGCTTCCTGGAAAAACCAGGTACCGTTTTTACCGTGGGGGCAGGAGGGGGCTTGCGTCTCAAACGGCTCGGTCGCGGTGTGCGGTCGGCTGCTGGACCTTGTAGCCTATTTTCATTCGCAGCGAAAATTATTTCACCGTGTTTTCCTGGTGAATAAATAACCCCCGATCTGCCGTGCTCAGCGCCTGACCCCCCCCCCCCTCCCTTTTTCCCCACTCCTGAGTCCTCGCCAAGTCAGACTGAGCCCTCCGGACCGCTGTCAAGCCTGACTCGCCGCCAGGCACGTGGGACAGGCTCGGCGTGCTTCCTGCGTTCCTGGAAACCAGTGTGCCGTCGAGGGGGTGCTGCTCAAATCAGTCCAGTTCGCCGGCTTCCTGGGTTTAAAAAAAATAAATAATGCGGCACAGTGTCGTTCTGGCATTTCCTCTCCTCGCCTCGAATGTTGGGGCCACAACTTGATACAATTTGGTGGTGCAAAACAGAACAGCCCAGCCGCTCAGCCGCACCGGACGTGCAGGAGATTGCGAATTTCTAGCTGCTCAGCCCCACCGCGCCCCGCCGCGCCCCGCGCCGTCCATCCAGTAATTGGCGCCAATTGGGGAGGAAACGCAGACAGAGCAGTGCGCTGCCGCGGCTGCCGCGCGCCACCAGACGAATCCCGAACGAGGCGTTCGTCGCTCCGTCTCCGTCGCACTCATGGGCCGAGCCAGGCCGAGCCGTCACGGTGCGAGAGAGACGGTCTGGCTGCTCGGCATCTTTAATGAGGCTGCCCGATGCCCTCCCCGTCGCAATCAAAACCAAAAAGGAGGCGACCCTTTTGTCGTTCGGCCCGCCCCGGCCAGGTTGCCTCGCCGGCAAACCTGATGCTCACTGTCCAGTTCTGCGCCAGCACCTCCCCCCCCCCCCCCTGCCAGCCCCGCCAGCCCCACCAGCCGACCTGAGGAAAGGGGTGCTAACTAAAGGCGCCGAAGACGCCTGAAAGCGGACACTGCGCGCGAAGCCGTACGAAGAGGCGCGTTTCAAATGAGAACGGGCGGCCCGTTAAGGCGTTTAGTGCACTTTCCGGGCCTTCCGCGTCCTGTTGGCAGTGCAGGCGGTGGCGCCGCTCGAGCTGCAAACTCATCACCACCGCGCTCGTTGTTGTCCAGGCCACAAAAATGACCTCAGCGGCCGCAGCGCGCAAGTTTTCAGAAGTTGTCCGGGCACAAAGTTGGTTGCTCGTGGTGTGGCGCGCCCGCTCACAGCCTTACCTGGGCCCCCTTGTTACGAGAGGGGGCGCGGCGGGGCGCGGCGGGCGCGGCGCGGGCGGGTCCGGGCGGGGCGCGGCCCGGCGGGCCCGCGGGGGGGCGCGGCGGGGCGCGGCGGGGCTCGTTGCGGTGGGGTGGGCCTCTCCCTGCCTCTGTTGCAAACGCTCCACTTCTGGAGCGGGACATGATAAGAGGGCATACTCTTTGTTGGTGGCACCGGAGGATCGGAGACTTCGCAGCAGGCCGGCCGGGCAGAGCTACGCTTCGCCACGCCTCGCCAAGCCTCGCCTCGCCTCGCCTCACCGCCAAGTTTCCTCCTAAGTGCCTCGCCGCATGCACTTTGTCCGTAATCTCTTGCACAGGCGGCTCGGCGGTCGTGGCGTGGCGTGGCGAGGCGTTGGGCCTCCAGGCCGTGGATCTTGCCGCGCGACGCGTCTCAAGGTCGCGGAGGCGCCGAGGCCGTCCCGTCGGCACCATCCCCGCGCCGCACGCGCTGCAGCGGGCTGTCGAGTGTGTGCACCGCGAACGACCGTCTGTCTCCTCAAGGCTTTAGCTCTGCGGACGTGTCGCGGCGACAAAGACAATTTTCACAGTGGCGCATTGCCGACCAACCAGCGCGTGCCAGGCGTGCCTGGCGCGACCGATCCACCGCCTTGTTAGCGCGGCCGGCCGGCCGGCCGGGCCCAGGGCGGCCCAGGCTGCACAGTGCACTGAGATAGGCTTCATTTGGCGCCAAAGCACGGCCTTCTGCGTGCTGACTACGCTGTGAGGGGAGCGGTGGGACCCGGGGGTTGGGTTCGCGCTCTCAATCCAGTGTGCTGACGGGACGAGCGGGCTGCGTTGCAACATCCGGTCACCGATCGGGAAGCAAAAAGTT